TAGTATTTTTTTTACAAAACCAGCACAGCTAAAAATAAAATGAGATAAATACATTCATTTATTTGTCCCTTATTTTTTTACACTTATTTTCTTTTTTTTTACACTTTGCACATTTTTTTATTTTTTTTTACACTTTTCACAATTTTTTTTAAACTTAAAAATGTTATTTTATTTATTTAATTATATCAAGCAGTCATTGTGAATTAATCTCACTATTACTGCTTGATAAATTAATACATTTTTGGTTATTATCAGGCTGCTTCAAACTTCAGAACAGCCGATAATAAGTTAGTGACACTGATCCTGCAGCAGTTCAGGATTCAGCTTTCACTAGTTTTCTGATTGTTACAACAACCATCAGAAAACTGAAACATTCTTCTTCCAGGAATAGATACATTATAGGAATAGACACATTATGTATCTATTCCTGAAAGTGAAAAAAAAAAAGCCAGTATAGCTTGAGAGAGATATCTCTCTGTCTATACGATTTGTCAGAATGCAGGCAAAAGCCGGCATGTGTGCCCGCTCTGCTTTGACTCTCAGACACCCGATATTAGGGTATCGGGTGTCTGAAAAAGGTTAACCCTTTCATTAATGGATGCCTCTAAACTGAGGGATACATTAATGAATGGTAACCGCTGATTTTCAGCGGTTACAAGCCTTCTAGTGCAGCAAATAACTCATCACGTACAGTGTACGTGACAAGTCATTTGGTCCCTTTGTGGCGGGATGTACAGTGTACGTCTCTCATCACGAAGGGGTTAATCAATGCATAAAACCAGACATAGCAGTCCAGGTAATGGTTTTCAGACAAAAGAACCATAGCTGCTTGCTACATTACATAATGATCACATTATGGGTGGGAATATAGCAAGCAGCTACTATTAAGGCCTTTTTTGGATGAAACACATTAGCGGGACTGCTATGTCTGGTTATATGCCTTAAATAAATAAAGAAGATTTTACTGGATCCAGAACTGCGTGCAAATACTTTTTTTCCACTGTTTTATGATGAAGAACTGGTGGAAGCTTTGGTTGTGCACCAGTGTTTTGTGCAACTGCATTGGAGGAAGGAGGTAGAGCACTTTCTGTTTATCTTGCGAGATTAAGTTTAATATGCATTAAACACATTTTCTTTTTAGGACACAAGTGTTGTACAATATTGAAATATTGACAATATTGGCCATGTAATGCTATTATAGACTAAAGTTTATGTTTTTGAAGCAGAATGGAAAATCTGGTGACAGGATCCCCACACCTATATGTGTAGTCATCATGCAGTCTATACTCTACCTTTTGCATGACCAAAAATGCATTCTGGTGCACAGTGCTTGCAATGATTTGACTATCGATGTGTGTGTCCAAATTTGTTGAAATGTGCAAATTTGAACTGGCTGGTTAATCTGGTTTCGGTGTATATAAACAGTCAAACCCATAAAAAAATATAATAATGCAAACAGACAATTATAATGAATATAGATAAAAAGGATAGATAGATAGATAGATAGATAGATAGATAGATAGATAGATAGATAGATAGATAGATAGATATCTGCACTGAGACAGTATGGCAACTGCAGCGATTAGCACAGTAAAAATGTAATCAGAAGGGTTTTGCACATATCTCAAGTCCAGACTAGGGGAAAAGGTTGCTGTTTCAAAGGTAATTAAAAGATGATTTTGGTCAAGAGAGCAGTTAAATGCATTGTAAAATTGTTTTAGGGCCTCATTAGCACCAAGACAAGTGAGCGCCTGCAGTAGAGACAGTTATAAAGGGGGTAGAACATCTTAGTCAAGGGAGGGAAAGGTTAATGCAGCTTTGACATATTTCCTCATCACTAATACAGCACCATGTATTACTACTGGCAGTGAGCACACAGTACCAGCAAGGCTCATCTTTTAACGATGGCATTGATGTATTTAAATTAATTGAAACAAGGCACATTTACACAGAATATGGATATAAAATTATATAGAATAAATGCAATTATATCATAGTTACATAGTTACATTTTTTTACTACTTTCTGTGTTATTTTTATCTACGATTAAATTGCACTTTATTCAATTTTCACAGGATAGTTTTGATTCAACTTTATTAGAGGTCTACAAAGATTAAAACAGACATAGGGGTTGATTTACTAACCTTATAAACACATCACGAACATGTATACACCTCTGTAGTGTGTTCCCTCCCAGCATGATCTATGGGTGGAATCTAAACACCTTTGTAGTGTGTACACACCCAGCAGGTGTGTTGTGCAAAGCCAAGCATGAATTGCAAGGTGATGTTGTGTAAATTAGCTCTATGTTGTGTTGCTTGCGTTGATGAATGCAGGAATGTAAATGCATGAGCTAACCATTTTTGTCTAAACTGTGAAGCAGCATTATATATGCATCATGTGCATGATTTTTCCATATATGGCATTAGTGGAAATATGCTTTTAGAGACTTTTTGGTTGATAAATACGTTTTGCTGTGTGAAAATCACACGCACCTGGTGCGTGCGTGTGTTTAGGTTAGTAAATCACCCCCTTACTGTCAGAACATGCTGATATACTCATGTACAGTAGGATCCTAGGCAGCCTTCCACTTCCAGCATAATTGTAAAACATTTTCTTCCAGCACTAGGATCTTAGCGTTACATAATTTCAGTGCGACCCTGAGACATTTCAATGTTAAAGATCCAAATGCAGTGTGGACTCAGAGTAGCGACTCTTTCTCTATTCTCTCATCACTAGAGCTTCTAGCTGAAATGACATGGTGCTGAAGTACTGGCACCGGGGTATATAACTTTTTTTTTTTAAATCAGATCATTTAATTGAGATTTTGCAATGTTTACATTATTCAAACAAACATAACCCCCACTCCCCTATCCCTCCCCCTTCCTCCCCAAACGTTCCCATACAATGTAACAAATTAAAGCTTTAACCGTGAACAGTTATGGTTTCATATAGTTATATATAGTTATAATACATTTATAATACCACCAGCTTGGGTCATATACCTATAAGGAATTGTAGAAATGTCACCAGCACACCAATCCTTTTAAGATAGCAAACGCTTCATTTATTGAAGTTTTTTGTCATATGACCAAACAAGCGCTTTCGGGGCCGCACAGGGTCCCTTCATCAGGCTTTAGCATTGACCAGCAATGGCCTATGGGCCTGAGGGTATGTCTGTCAATGTTCATGCAATTAACCCTATATCCAGGGTTGCAGTGGTTCCAAAAAATCGGGGGTGCAGAACAAGTATGCCAAATCAGACAATAAGTACTATCCTTGTCGCACTCCTTACCGATATGTCCCTTGTAGTGGGGGGTGCTCGCAGTGACCGCGGATGGCGCCGCGAATGTCAGCAATTGTAGAAATGTCACCAGCACACTAATCCTTTTAAGATAGCAAAAGCTTCATTTATTGAAGTTTTTTGTCATATGACCAAACAAGCGCTTTCGGGACCGCACAGGGTCCCTTCATCAGGCTTTAGCATTGACCAGAATTGTCCCACTACAAGGGACATATCGGTAAGGAGTGCGTCTGGGATAGTACTTATATACCTATAAGGAGTGTCACTCAACATATGAACAACAGTGCTGTACATATTGTGTGTAGTCTTATCCCTGGCACTGTAACAATTGCAGCAACAGTTCGGTATTTACTGGAAATATCTTGAAGCTAACATTTCATGAGTCTGGTTATGCTTTGTCTCATCAAACTCCAGTTATAAATAAATTAGATAATATCAGTCCCAATCAACCTAAGATCATGTGAAGGGTTAGTTGTAGGGGTGGGGGGCAGTCCTGCAGTTTCCAATTATCTGTCCCAAAGATTCATAAATTTACTTGGGACCCCTTGAGCTGAGACATATGTTCTTCTGTTTGATTAACTACATTCACAGACTGTTTCAATAAATCAAATGTAGGGGGAATATATGATATTAATTTTTGGGCTATAATTTTCATGCAACCAATAATAATCTAGTAATAGTAGTATGTACTTGTGCAATATAATTTTCGTCACCTATTAAGCAAAATACCAATTTTTGCTCCCGAGATAGTCACTTTTTACTTTCCTGTGATGCCACCATAGGTCTTTCTGCTGTCCATTTAGCAAAATCCAGTGCCCAATACTCCTATTTTTTAACCTTGATAGCTTACAGTAGCTAGTCATGCCCTCACATAATGTGGCCGGCATAATGGTGACTCCCCCTGTGAGTCCCCTATCAGCCAGGCCAAAAAGAAAATGCCGGAATGACGCTGGCTGTCATCTATCCTGGAAATTACTAGTTGCCATTGAGCTGCATGAAAACCTCAACAAGAGACTGCCAGTCTCCTCTGAAAGCAACCACTGGGACTGATGCCTGAGGGGTGGGAAACAGGCAACTGAACATAGGTGAGGCTGGAGATCTGATTTAACCTCCCTGGCGGTCTGATTTTTTCATTTATTTTTTCCATTTTTGTCTCTATTTTTTTTTACGTTTGCATTTGCCGCCGGTTCTGCCCCCCTGCGGTGCGTATGCTTGCAAGGGATGGAACCCGGAAGACGGATGCCGGCATCGGCTGGAGGACACAGCGGGGATTGTGGACAAGGTAAGTGTGGCACTGTGTGATCCCGAGTGTGGCTCGGAATTACCGCTTTTGGTAATGAAAACTAACCCCGAGCCACACTCGGGAATACCGCCAAGGTGGTTAAATTTGGCTCAGTTCTCCTTTACCCCATATACTGTAGGTGTGATACAACTTTAGACATGCGTGTGGATGTTATGGATCAAGTAGGAAAAAAAATGTATATGTGTAAAACTGTAACTATGTTTCACTATGTTTATTTTTGCAAACAATATAAACAGTATATAGATTTGTATATTTTTGGCTGTAAAGCAAACTTGATAGAAACTTGGAATATTGCATATCTGTTTTTTATAAGTTGGGGATTGATCAACTGAGCTACACTGTGTAAAACAAGTATCTTGTCTGCATGCACAAGAAAAAGACAGGAGTACTTACTTTTCGTAACAACACCTTCGAGTCGGATGATATTTGGATGATCAAACTGTCCCATGATACTTGCTTCTCGGAGAAAATCTCTGCGCTGCCTGTCCATGTAACCTCCTTTTAAAGTTTTAATGGCCACTGGGATTTCCTTCTTTGCAGGCGTCTTCAATCTTCCACTGCATACCTCTCCGAATTCCCCTAAAAAGATAGCTTGTTTTTAATATAAAGAGCACAAACAATGTGATGTGTCATGAGACGGAGGAAAAGAGAGAGAGAAGGAATAAACAAAGAACTTTGAAATATCAGCATGTCATATCTTGTAAAACCTCCACAATATCTCTGTTTTGTTGGGACTTTGAAGATTTTCAGATCCTCAAAATGGATAAAACTGCCTAATCAGTTTAAAGCTAACACGGAAGTTGCATAATACAGGCTCTTACTAGGGTACTTGGAGCCAACCAGAGGAAATGGGGATCAAAGCTCACTCTCAGGGAAACAGTATAATATAACATAATAACCAGACTACTATGTGGCCCAATGGGAAAAAAGAAAAAAACGACTTGCTTAAGCATCGTAATAAGGAGTCTATCCAGGTATAACATTTTCCTTTTATTAAATAAAACAAACGATAATTTCTTTAAAAAAATGTTGGGTCCAGGTTACCCAAACTTACCCAAACTTGCTTTGATAAGTAACTGGAAACATTTGGCTGGTTATTGAATCTGTACTCTTAACTTACAAATAAAAGCATCAGAAAATACTGACATAACAGTTCCCAACTAGTCAAACTGCTGAGCAATATAAATGACAGAATTCCAATTGTCCCTCAGCCCTAGAAGTCAAGTGTAATGGGGCAAGAAGTAAAATAATATTTTGTGAAGTTTTCTAGACTACATTAGACATCTTTTACCTCTAATAAAAAAGCAGCAAGTTGTGTATTTGGTGTAAGAGCATCTTTAATACCTGATGTATATTGCTGGCAGCCTGTGAACATATTTACAGGAAACGAATTTGCTGCAAAATGAGTAAAAATAAACCCAGATTTATGGCTAATTCTAGAATGAAATCAATAGATATCTGACAAGCAATTGTTGTAAGTACAACGATCTGTCAATAAAATCTACAGTAATAGTATTTTGGGCTACTTAGTTATTACAAGAAATTGTAGTATGCTGTTGCTCAGTTACAAAGAGCTAATTTGAGATAGAAATAAAGAATATGTCATATATATCAGTTTTAAACTGTGAATAAAATAGAAAATGTGCTGCTGAAAATGTAAAGTAAAATTAGGAACAAATAAAATAAATCAGTGTTATTGAGCAAAATAAGGCATAATGGTCTAGGGAAATTCTAAGCTTAAAGTGAACCTGTGTGACTGTGCATATTACATCTTCATAATAAACAGTAAAAACAAGCCCTCATTCACCTCTGCAGCTAAAGGTTTTCTGGAAAGATTAATCTTCAAATCATTAATCTTCAAAAAATTAACAAAAAAAGTCACTGAAAACACAACTTCTCTCCCCTTTTTTCATGTGGAGAGCAGAATCTTGGCAGTCTGCCAGACCTTCTGATGTAAACACACAGCAGGTGCTCTAAACTGTTTATCTGCAGATTTTCTGTGGTCAGATGGAAGAAGTGCAACAGATTGGCCCAGGTGGAGATTACTCCATCCACACAGTTAAGTGTAGATGGAGGAATCTGTTGCACCTTTTCCATCTGACAACAGAAAATCTGCAGATAATTGTAAGGTGTATGGCCAGCTTTATAAACTGACCGAAATCCAACATTAGAGCCTTTGTTGTAATCCTTGAGACTGGGGTAAAACCTTTGTGTCTGCATTTTCCTGCTAAGAGGTGGGGATTGGTTGTCATGCATTTTTCTTGCACTGCTATTGAAGTCTGAGGGGCCAAAAATGAACATTGCCACACCAAAAACACACTTGCACTATTGTTCCCAAAGCACAGGTGTGAACAGGCCCCACTGACAACAATAGCATTTCTCTAGTTATGTGTTAACGTGTTTTGGACATTGGGCAATAAGTTGCACAGGTATGAACAGGGCCTAAATATTAATTACTTAACAGCAAATTCAGCTACACAGGTCTGTGTGGGCTTGTTTTAAAACTCTTTTATTGCTTATTAAAGACCTGTTCTAGGTCCATTTTCTTTTAACATAGGCCCCCAGGCATGATAAAACAGCTCATGTAGCTATAATTACCTTTAACATGAACCTGAACTCAAAAAGCTCTGCTATGTAATAGAGAAGATTTAGAAATGTGACCTTTTGTCGTAAGCTCCTCCTGAAAATAAAAATGCACTTCCTGGTATGTGAGTTTGCCTAAGCATGCCTGTGCCTACAGCTTCAAAGCAGTTTATCTGCAGTGTGAGATCTATAGCAGTGCTTCCCCTGGCTGAAAGTATTGGAAGATTTGGTGATGTCACTACTGTGCTGCTCACTTTTCTCCTTGCTGAAGGCTCTGAAATGAGGAAGCAAAACCCACCTCCACACATAGACATAGTGAAGAACAAGGCATGGTAAATCAGTGCTGGGGAAATATCGGCTGCAGGGAGACCACAGGTAATATTTGTGACTATTCCTTTGCCCTCTGGCTGCCATTTTGTGGTGCACATCTTTCATAGTTTAGTTTCACTTTAATCCAAAATTGCCCTCTGCAGTACTTCTATTCTGGCACAAGATGTGCTCACTCTTCCAGGAATGACAACCAGTGGACAAATCTCACTGACTGAAACCTGTCACGAGAAAGTCATGGAGGCTGCCTTTGCTGACCATTCCTGCTAAAAATGGTAGTTGCCTGACTGTCATACATTGGCTTCAAATTCACCGAGATGGAGCAAGTATAAGGAAAATAAATTCTGATGGTTTTCTGATGCTCATTCATAGCATGCTTGTTCTGGGTCTGAGATTCAAAAAGTATTCAACCCAGACACAGCCATTCAACAAACATTTTTTAGAAGGAGCAATGGCAGCCCCCATGGGTTTCTAATAACAGGGTCAATTTAACATGCGAACATCTGCCTTCGTTCAGCTCTACTGCTTTACCTTACTAGTTCTAGGCTGCTGCTATAAAACAAGCACAAGGTTATATAAGTATTATTTTACCCAGTACATACTGAAACTATAATCTATATTATAGAGTAATGTAAAACACAATAACTGAAATGCAACAAAACCTATTGGGCAAGAAAAAACTCCTAATGTTTGCCAGGCAATGTCTGCAATATTTCATAATGACAAATACATTTATTGGTACCCTTAATATCAAGGTGATTTCCCTTAAGATATAAACTACCAAGTTTAAGTTAATGTATATCTGTATGCACATCCCCTGCAAACACTAGTCTAACCTTTTCCTGAATATTACATTGGTATTTGAAGTAATCTCATGGGACAATTCTTTATTTCTACTGGGGAAACACTGCAATATCTTTCTCAGATCTAACATTCGACTTATGTTTGTACTACTATAGTTAGAACAGACTACAGCAGATATGCTATAGCCTGGAAAAAAGAAGGCACACACATTGCCCCTAGAGCACAGCTACCATAGACCACAAGATGGGCACTTTGACACTCTAGTTAAAAAAAAATCTAAACCTATGGGGGTCTTCTTTATATTATGCCTTGCTATGTGTAGGCAGGTCAAGATTCATCCCCTCCAGCTCACTGGAGATATCACACCAAACATCACCTCACCTACACATTACCCTAGGATGAATGTAACACTGACTTTACTGCCATTAAATGCTACAGATTAGTGAGCCAGAGGCAAGACCATAACTACTTTTTTTTGTGACATATTTATTCTGTGCCAGAATTGCTGCCATAAGTAAAACTATATTCATAGCAGCTCATGCAGCAGCTTTGGGGCTGATAGCAGTGGGGACCCTTTTGGTGGTCTGGAAAGGGTTTTTGGAATGGCCAGTGAAGGATTTAATGGGTGTCAAGGTAATTTGACTACATACAGAATATATTAAAGTACAACTCTAGTCAAAACCTTTTAATTTTAGGTTTTGGATAGAGTGGGGAAAGTTTACAACATCATTCAGGTTTTAATTTATTTAGGAGAGGAAGTAAAATGAGTCACATAATCCACAATACCCATATATACCAGATATTTATGTTGGATTCTGCTGGCATACCAATTGCCGAGTAAAGGAAAGGTAAATATATTAGGAAGGGGGTTGGACATTAAAAGTTTTTTTCCTGGAATGCACCCCTTCCTACCACTATCCTTTACCCCTATCCTACTTATTGCTGAGTTTAAAAAAAAAAAGCTACTTAAATGCCACTTTTACTTACCTAAATCTGTGGTCACACCTTGCCCTGGGTCCTGAGTCTTCTATCTTCCTCATTGCAGAGTAAGAGGGTCTTCTTCAGCTACCCATGTTGCTTCCTAGTTGACTTGGACTTCCTATTGACTGTCCAACAGAGCAGAGCGTTCCTCTCAGGCTTCACAAGCCTGCACAGCATTTCATGTTTCCAAAAGGGGACCAGTTGGCAGGGTCATAGACTGCAGCTCTGGATCGCTGGTCTCCACTCTCTGAAGAAATACCAGCAAGGGACAGTGGACAGAGGTGAGTAAAAATGTAACAGGTTTCTTATTTTTATCTGAATGGGGGAAGCAGTGCACACTATTTGGCCGGAGCTGAGCTTTAAAGTAAACCTGTTACTTTGTCCTGCGTGGACAAGCCACAGGTTCACTTTAACTTCCCTTTCAATTTACATTAAAGTTGAACTATGGAACCAAACTTTTAATAACGTTAGACATATTATCTCATTTCCTCTCCAATGTAGCACTTTTTACTGTGCTTAAATCAACATAAAGATTGTGCTCATAGTTGTCCCTTTTCATACAGCTTCTGCTGTGCTTCTGCCTGCCCCTCACCTGCCAACACTAGCGCGGCATCTTCAATTGGCGCTCAGTGCTGATGTTCTGCCTCTGCCCCTGTGTACACTTGCTCATTCACAAAACACAACCTGGGATCACAATGCAGTCATGCAGTGTGCCATCACGGCCACAAAGTCATACCAGGCTGTGAACTGCCAAAGGGACAGCTATAAGAGGAATTTTTAAGCTGATTTAAGTGAAGAAAAAAAAAACATGCTACACTTTTGGAAGCAAAAAGATTATAATAAATCTAACCACATCTAATTTAATCTTAATAATATTAAAACCA